CTAGTTTGAGCATGCTTTAGTTTTTTGACAATATCTCAAGCTATAGACCTTAGATCAAGACAATTCTTTGACTATTGGAAAGATAATTCAAAGGAATACATTTCATATGTTTACCGCTTCTCCAGATTCCATCTTTATCATGCTCAAAAATAATCATCTCTGGAGTGATAAGGAATGATGCGGGATTTGGACTAAAGAAGAAGAGTTATCACTGTGCCGCAACACACTTTGTCCATAATCGACCGTTCTGCAGCACAGTGCTGAGGCACAGTCATGATAGTTAGGAATTTTCTTCCATTTTTTATTAGGAAAATAAGGTTAAGAGTCCCAAACTAAATAGAATTAAGGAAAATAAAACCTTAACGCTTATGGGATATAAATAGAAGTTTTTTAGCATTATTTTGGGGATTCTTTGGGGAGAATAAGAGAAGAATAACCTGTAGAGAAAAAAAGTGACATAATTTCTGGAGCTTTGATTCACAATATAGGGAAGTAAGAGAAGAAAAACCTGTAGAGAAGAAAAGTGACAAAATTTCTGGAGCTTTGATTCATAATATAGAGAAGTTCTTCTTGTTTCTTTCTTATAAACTCATGTTGATTATTTTAATAAAGATGATTGCTTCTTTCATGTTTATTATGAACTACCTTTATTTTTCTATGACTAAGCTGTAGCCCAATCTCTTGATTATGTGTTGATTTTTATTAAGATTTCTTCATAAGTTTTATTATTATGCTTAATGCTTTTGATTCTTAAAGGCCCAAGAATTGAATGAACTAATGGACTAGGTTGAGATCAAGAGATGATACTTAGTTGGTCTACGGTAGTAAAACCATAGGTTGAGCGAACGCTAGAGATAGGTTACTGTGACTTGTGAGGTTTTGGTAAACTCCATAAAGCGTAATGATCTCCAATTGTTTAAATCTAATTAGAGATAATTCGGGTTAGTAATTAGGGGTTAATTTGATAATTATTCGAGAGAAAGTTATTGGAAATTTAAAGAGTTTGACTTGTAGAAAGAGCTTAATAAAAGTTGGTGTGAATAAGAGTTTGTGTGAAATCTATGCCCTAGGTCTAATCATCTTGCTCTAAACCCAAAGATTTATTTTAGTTGTTTTCTTTTAAATTCAATTGTTAATTTAGTTTAGATTTTCCTTGATAAAAACTGTGATTAATCAAATAGTAATAAGATAATAAATTTTGGTAATTTATAATAGTAATTCCATTGAGTTCGACATTCGTATTATTACACTTTATTACTTGCACGATTTCGTACACTTGTGAAAATCTACAACAGACACCACTAACAGTAAAAAGGCGGAGACTCTTTGTATTCCCGCCTCGCCTATGACACGTGTAGACTGTATAGGGCGAGACACATACACATTCGTCACAACGCTGAAGGATTCACACATAAGGTTGGTCTAGCACGGCTCGACTGTATCAGGTTAAATGCCTCGATGAGAAGAATCCCACACCTGTGCGAATTCAAAGGAACTAACTACATCTCCCGTCAGTCCAGCCCCGAACGTCATATTCACATCACCCAAATTGAAATGACACGGATATGTAATCACATTCGCCTGAACGATTGTAAGGGAGCAATCGCCGAGCCGCATCATTATTCCTTTATCCTTGGTAGGACCGCTGCCAAGGTGATGTCGAGCGGCACCATTGTCTGGAATTGGCCAAAATTAAGCAGCATCCTGTTCGGCTCGGTAGATATAATCCCCCTGCTAGATATCGCTGAACTAGGCGAGCGCCAAATGCGATTCTTTGGAATCACCTTGGATATGATCCAAATGATCTTCAATCCCTTCGGCTCGAGCATTGAGACCGAGCCGAACTGACCATGCCCCAAGGGCATCCTTAACATTCAAGCCCTCCTCCCGTCAGCAATGACCTGTCCGTATCTCAAATACAAGTAATAGAATCTACTCTTTAAGCTAAATACCCTTTAACTTAGAGAATGGGGAACAAACTGTATGGGCCAAAAATCGTATTAGACCTAACGAGGTCCAATAACATCATTAATATGCGACAACCTAGAGTCTTGGCCCAAGCCCGATTAAGCCCACGCTTAGAGTACCTTGGGAACTGTCTACTCTATAAGTTGGGTCATCCCCCAAGTTAAGCAGAACTGGGCCCAGCCCATTCGCCCACAGCACTCCATAACAAGGATCTGAATCCTTATCAAATTCCTCTTTTAACAAGATCTTAGATCTTACTCAAAGAGGAAAGCTTAAACTGATAAAAGCAGAAAATCCAATCTCTTTCCGAAAGGAGAACTCACCTACCAAGTAGGACTCAAAGTCCTATTAGGACTCGGACCCCTGAGGTTCGCTATATAAACAGAGGCTAACCCTCTCTATAGACATTCAAAAATCACCCCTAAGTTCTAGTTTCCATATTATCAAATCCACCACCTACTCCAACTTCCCTACATCGCTAAAGCTCCCTCCCTATTCATAGGGGCACCCTCCGCAAGTCCATCAAGATTGTCAGTTGCTCGCCCCACAAGATTTTATCCTCAGTTTAATTGTAAATTTTAGCGTTAATAGTTCTTCCTAGTGGTGGTGTTGGTCTTCAATATATCCTAAGAATAAAAACATTTACGTCACTTCACATAGTCTCGCTAGCTACAGCAAGTTTGAACCCGTTACAACGGACCCAGATTCTCGCTATAGCTATTTAGCTTCTCTAGTTTCGTAACAAAAACCTTTGCTATAGCAAGGGACCTGCTATAAGGAAAAATATTGGCTATAACGAATCTGGAAATAAGCCAAAACTTCCCGAGTCCACTTTCCAAACTCTGCAGCAAATTCTCAACCAAATGCATTTAATTTTTCCGCTTCCCAATTGCTTTCAAGTGGTATGTGAGCCACACTTATCACAATTAATTAAAAGCAATTAACTTCTCTCTAGAGAATGCAACGTGATGCATGTTAGTATGAAATTCCTGAGCATGCCACAACTGATCTAGGTCAACTAATAATGTGTATCACCCATGAGACAGACTGCCACCAAATTCACCTCTAATTTCAATCAAGCGGAGCTAGAAATTAATTTTTCGGTGGATATTTATACATAAAAGGCAACATTATCAATCTCATTTGCGTTAAACGTATCTATTTGGTAAACTAAAGTTTTATCATTTAAAATATATAATTTTATTGTGAAAGGAAAGGAAACTAAAACAATGTCTACTTAATAAACTAAATTCATTATGTTGTGCAGACATTTCCACGGTCAGATTTGTGTCACCTACCCATAAGTCATACTGAGATTTGACAATCAGACTTGTCTCACAAGTCGCTCCAGATGACTTAACCAACAAGTTCATTAGACTTAAGCATGGGTGTTCATACTTAAGCATGGGTGGGGTTTACTCATATCCGGATTACGAGGAAATATGTGTGTTATTCACCCCATAAAAAAACTCCCAACCACTGTGAGACGATGTGTATAACAAGGAGGCATGCCTCCATTTTGGGGGTTGATTATTCACACAAGTACAAAAAATCACTTAGAAAGAGTTTTAGCTCATCATTACGTGCTATTTTCCTATAATCACCTTGTATGTAAAATAAACACTAAGTAATAATATAATAGTGGACTTAGGCTTGGTTTAAACCCGAGAACTATTTAAAAATCTCTTATGTTCACATTGTGGATTACCCAATCCATTCCCAATTGATTAATCTTAATCACGCGTACATCCTACTCAGTCTCATCGTGGTCGATTAGATATCTCTGGTTGTTACAAATTTTCGTAACAACACATTCGAATCTTATTAAGAAGAGAAATAACATTATTTTTAATTTATGAATCTACTAAAGTAGAAGAAGATATGTGTGAAAGCAAAGAAAAGAGATTGTAACACGAATTCTAAAAAGAAACAAGTATAAAAGTTAAATTATTAATTAGAATCAAGAAATATAGAAACAAGTATAAAAGTTAAATTATTAATTAGAATCAAGAAATATTATTAAAACAAAAAAAAAAAATACCCTTAAATAACATATAAGAAAATATGAATTCAAATATTATTAAATTTATATTTTAAAAAAATTTCACCTGGGTGGAGCAGTGAAGTCGCCCTCTTAATGTGAAGACCAGGAAAGAAGAGTGGTTATAATGTCTTGAATTGTTTCAAATATAAGTTTGTATTAGTTATCCTCATTAAAAAAAACGGTGAAGGCTAAACAACTTGACTATTGACTAATGACTATTATTATTATGAAATCCACCCACGGAACCTCAAGGCTCAAGCAACTGTATTATTGGATCTAGGGTATATTAATAACATTTTAGAAGAAAAAAAAAAGTTACCATTCATAAATAATAGTTTATTAAAGGATAAAGTGTTACTTATCAAAATTATTATCCTAACATTTTAACAACAAATACTATCATAAATACGTATTTGATAACATATTAAGGAAAAATGTTATTATCCAATGTTACCGTGGGTTTTTATTTTTATTTTTATTTTTTTTTTGTTTTTTGTAATGCTCGGAGTTGCCGGTTTCCTTGACATTCCTATGTATGATTTAATGTGCAGTAAAAAATATGTGAAATTTTGATAATAGTATTTCTCTGAAACTTCGCTTTCGTGATGTTTATAATTACATTAACACCAATGAACCGCAGCGCTGCCCGTACCTGCAATTTCGTTGTAACAGTGAATTTTTGAACAAATGTCACAATTGCCTTTATTATAAAGGGCCTAGTATAGTGTTTTCAGTTATTAGCTTGTTGGTGCTTGGGTGAGTTGTCACCATCCAATTAAGTGAAACGGGACAGGGTATGAAAGAAAAAATATATTTGTTTGATAAATTATTTTATATGTTCATCTTTCTTATGAATATTTGTCGAAGTAGTAAATTTTCGTTATATAAAGAAATTAATACATTCATCTATTCAAGATTGATGACAATTTTGTGATGTGTATATGTTGCCTCATTAGCGTTGGAAACTTTACTCGGGTAGTTGCTATCTTTGTCTCTCCGCTATAAATTCCCTTGGCAGTGTAGACATCCGGTGTGCTTCCAAGCCTCAACTACTCTCTACCTCTACATTTCTGGTACCCAGGATCTCTATTAACTACGTAAAACTATATAATCTGTTTTTCTTATTTCTTGCTTTCTCTTCTGCCATTATGTTGTTTAATAAATGTGGTGTTGTTTTTGCAGAGTAATAATGGTTAATGAAAAGGAACAAAAATTGCAAAATGACCCAACTATGGTTCGTATTGAACCCCAGAGAAGAAAGAACAATCTTCCCAACTTCTTGCTATCCGTCAGACTCAAGTATGTTAAGCTTGGTTATCACTACTTAATCTCCAACGCTCTATTTCTCCTGCTTATATTACTTCTTTGCATTATATTGAGTCATCTATCGACAGTAACCTCTGAGGAAATCTTTCAGCTCTGGACCATACTTGAGTTCCATACAGCGACTATTCTTGTATCCTCGGTTTCCATCATTTTAATATTTACCATTTACTTGTTGAATCGCCCGAGAAAAGTTTACTTGGTGAACTTTGCATGTTACAAGCCTGAACTAGCTCGGATGTGCAGTAGAGAAGTTTTCATGCAAGTATCTGCACAGACGGGGAAATTCACAGAGGCAAGTTTAGCCTTTAAAAAGAAAATCCTAGAGAGATCGGGGTTTGGACAGATGACTTATGGACCAAAAGCCTTGATGGAGATCCCTCAAAACCAGTCTATGGCGGAGGCGAGAAAGGAGACAGAAGCAGTGATAGTTGGAGCAATCGACGAGCTCTTGGCAAAAACTGGAATAAATCCTAGAGAGATAAGTATTCTTGTGGTGAATAGCAGTTTGTTTAATCCAACACCTTCTTTATCAGCCATGGTAGTGAATCGCTACAAGCTGAGAGGGAATATTTTGAGCTATAATCTAGGTGGCATGGGCTGCAGTGCAGGACTTATTTCTATTGACCTCGCCAAACAACTTTTACAGGTTTACTATTTCTACAATATGCATACAGTCAACACTCAAAACCAACATGTTATTGAATTAAACAAAAGGTTAATCTGAATTCAAATATATTTCTTCAGATATAAATGCTGGAATAGGGATTCATATGCATGAACTTCCCTTCTTCTATGTTAATCAATTTGGCCTATATTTTAATGAATAGGGAAAGAGATCATGACATATTTTAATATATTAATATGAGTATATTTAAAAAAAAAAAAAAAAAGTATTATACATATAAAGAAAGTTTTACATACAAAATGACATGATAGACTCTAATATTGTTATGTTTCACTATCATTTATTGTGTATTTATTAACTTAATTTTTTATATTAATTTATATAATCATATTCTAATGTCATTTTATAAAAGTCTTGGTATAAATTCTTTGTAAGTGTTATATTTGTTTAAAAAGAAATATTTTTTCGATAGATTACAAATTTATTGCGAATGAGGAGAGAGACAAATTTATTACGAATTTGAACATCAGGGGACAATTTTAAATCTTTGACCAAATTAAGTACTAAATAGTTAATAATGAGTGACCCTACACATGCAATTACTATCTAAAATATTTTTATTTTGAAGTCAAGGAAGTTTTAAAAGCTCTTAATTAATTTGATTGTAACAGGTGCACCCCAACTCCTATGCTCTAGTTGTGAGCACAGAGAACATTACCAAGAATTGGTATACTGGCAATGACCGATCCATGCTTGTCACAAACTGTTTATTTCGAGTGGGCGGGGCTGCCGTCCTCCTATCCAACCGATCATCTGATCGCAGTCGCTCCAAGTATCAACTACTTCACACCCTTCGCACCCACAAAGGCGCTGATGATAGATGTTATAATTGTGTCTTCCAGCAAGAGGATGAGACTCAAACAGTCGGAGTGACACTCTCAAAAGACCTTATGGCTGTTGCCGGAGAAGCCCTTCAAGCAAATATCACCACCCTCGGCCCATTAGTTCTTCCGCTGTCAGAGCAACTTTTATTCTTCGCAACTCTAGTTGCCAGAAAATTTTTTAAAATGAAGATTAAGTCATACATTCCCGATTTCAAGTTGGCTTTCGAGCATTTCTGTATTCATGCAGGAGGGAGAGCGGTGTTAGATGAACTAGAGAAAAGCCTTGATCTCAGCGAATGGCATATGGAGCCTTCAAGAATGACTCTTTACAGGTTTGGGAATACTTCAAGTAGTTCTTTGTGGTATGAACTGGCTTATTCTGAGGCCATGGGGAGGATGAAGAAAGGTGATCGAACATGGCAAATTGCATTTGGTTCAGGATTCAAGTGTAACAGTGCCGTGTGGAAGGCGTTGAAGACCATCAAACCTGCCGAGGAAAAGAATCCATGGATGGAGGAGGTGGATAATTTTCCTGTTCAAGTGTCAAAAGTAGCATCAATTGCTTTCTAAACCTACTTCTCTTTCATGTCAGGAACAGTAGTTATTGCAGTATGTGACTATGTCAACTAGTATTAATATTATATACTTAGAGTGTGTGTTAAGGCTATATAGTGATTCTCTTTCTTCTGAGAGGGAAAGCGGCATGCTCGAATTAGAATTTAATTAGCAAGATGAATTAATATTGGCTCCATCTGAAGTGAATAAGGAGCTCTCAGATAAGATAAGTTGTTTCCAGTCACATGAATAATGCATTGATTATTAAGTAAACCAGTCTTGTACTACCTTCCTCTATCTGTATTTGCCAAACTCTTTATTAAGTTTCATGGTGATGAGGTCATCTCAGCTAAACCCTAACTCATTCTCATTTTATTTAATCAATATTCCCATATATGAATGTTAAGACAGAAGTAAAAAATTTCTCATATATAAGTAAACTTCAGTTGCTCAATTACATTGTAAAAACAAAGCCGAAAAATATCTGTATATTAATTGTAATATTGTATACAATTAACTCTTACAGGAAGGAAGTTGACATCGACTGACATTACTTAAGCTCTAAAAGCAGTCTACTTGTCAACGCGTAAAACAAAATTTAAATTATTATACAATGTGTGGTTGTTTTATTATCTGTTTTTAAAATATTATTAGTAGGTAGAGTTTGGTGATTATTACGATGTAAAATTTAAAAATTAATATAAAAATATGTTAGGTTTGCTAATTTAACTTAACACCTCAATATATAAAAATTTTGTTATAATTCTTACTTCATATATACATTAGTGTTTATTTTTTGAGCTCGGATGGTTCTTATCGATTAAATAAGATTAACATGTGCTAAACTTTCTATATAAATACGTATTGATAGCTAACTTGTGCGCACATCAACTTACTATGGAATTTAATGTATGTGATTTCTAAGATTTGAAAAAGTTTGGAATTTGGCCATTTTCGACCAGATTCATGGCAATTAACGGTCAAATCCATGGTGCCATGCACCAGAATAAATCAGACCATTAATGGCCAAATCTATTCGGTGCACAGCTGACCATATTCGATCAATTGTGTGTTATTCTAGCGACTATCAACAATGGCTTGGGATGAGTAGAGGTGATTTTGTTACAAATTAAACTTTTATGTGGTTGGAATGTTTTAGCAAAATCTCAAATGTAGGAGATTAAAAGAAATAATTTAAAAAATAATATTATATTAATATTTAAAAAAAATAGCAATTTAGTAATCTATATAAAATATCCACCAATTTGTTCCTCCCAACTAAACATATCAATATAATATACCCATCTATTTATTTCAACATAATCAAACACATATCTCTAAACATTCTCAATAAAATCTTCAAGGTAATCTACCTTTCTATTAATAAAATATTCCCAATAATATAATATTTCATGAACCAAACGCACCTTTAAGGTTATATCATCCTTAATTTCAACACGAAAACAATTCAATACCTAACTATCTATATCAAGTCTTCTTCTTCTTCCTTTTTTAAATATATACATTTCTTGTTAATATAAATATATAAGACTGGGTCATGCTATGGTAACTTAAATTTTTAACTTAATTTAAAATATCAATTTATAGCCATTCATAATTCCTAATCCAAACGTTTTAAAAGGTAATGAGATAACACATAAAATAACTAATTACTCCGTTCGTTTTGAAATAAAAAAAGTCAGTTTTAAGCAATTGCACACTTTTTAATAAACTAATTTTTTAATGTAAAAAAATTTTCTCTCTCCTACTGCATCTCTTATTCGCTTCTCCCTTGAAAGGGAGGTGAGAAATGCAATGAAGAAAAAGCAATGATAGGAAAGTTGTGTTAAATGACGTTTGAAAGAGAGAGAGAGAGAGAGGAGACGAGGGGAGAGGAGATGTCATAGACAAGACAACGACACTTAATTTGAAAAAAAATTAAACCTTCAAAATGTCATTTATTAAAAAACAGAGGGAGTATAAAACTATCCATAATTCATTGTTAACAGTAGGATTGAAAATAATTGTATTGATTTACTTCTACGTAGCCATGCAATGTTGTAGAACAGTTTGATGAAATCATAAATACTTACTAGCCGCCACGGATGCTTGGAGTCAACCAAATCAACCCAATAACACTACGGACACCGAAAAAATTGCACTGAAATTGTGTACCGGCCTACGTGTACCAGTCGCATGAATTTTTCTTTAATTTTTTTCTAGCGAACGGTCGTCCAAAAAGTTTGGACGGCCGTTCACTCACATGGACCCCCGTCCATATTTTATGGACGAGGGTCCATATACCAGGGACGGGCGTCCCCATTTAAAGGACGCCCGTCCTTGAATAAAATACAATAAAAAAAAAATTATAAACATTAGGGACGGCCGTCCCTTCATTTTGGACGGGCGTCCGCAAATAAGGGACGCCCGTCCTTAACCAAAATATGAAAAAAAAAAAAAACTTTGGGGACGCCCGTCCACCAATTCTGGACGACCGTCCCTTACGTTTGGACGGGTGTCCGTAAGAAACGGACGCTCGTCCATACTTTTTTTTAAAAAAAAAATTCTAAAAAAACTCTATTTTCGTCTTCATTCTAAAAAATTCTAAAATCTTAAGATAGACTGTAAATACTTCCCTTGAGCTTCAATTCTCAGCTGCAAATGTCCTGTACCTGAAAAATAAATTCCCAATTGTTGAAGTTTGAACTGTATTGATGATGCTTTATTGATAATCAGAAACCATCTCTGATTGGTTTAATGGTTTTACGTACGTTAATCTGTTCATGAAGTTTCCTCTGCACTTCCAGTTGAACTTAGAGACTGAGCGATTGCAAGCCTCTGTAAACACAACACTTGAATCAGTTGAAGCTACTTGGATTATTACTATATATCGAAAATTCATCGATGGATTAGGATTTATTTCTGACTATTACTCATTAACTGATTAGGTGTTCTGTCACTGTATTCCTACTAAGATTCCCATCACTGCTTGGAGTTTCTCGCAATCTGCTTAAAAAACTAATTGCTTTGAGGAAGTTCGTGCTGCCTGAGAATAAGAATACTGATCCATTTCGGCAATTTGTCAGGATGGAGTTTTGACTGTTACTGTGGAGAAGTTGTCGCCTCCCGAGCCAAAGAAGCGCGAAGACCTTTGAAGTTAAGATTGCTTGAAGCGTTTGCAGAGGGTGTGGTTTCATTTTTCTTCTCTGTTAAATATAATAAGTGTGCTTAGGAAATGGTTTTGGTTTTGTTTCTCGCTGTGTTTGGGTTCTGTTTTGGGATTTAGTGACGGTTTCTAATGGTTTTGTGGTAGATATTATTAATCTTAGAATAACACTGGACAAGAAGAAGAGAGGAGATGGGGAATGAAGACGAAGAAGAAGAGTTATTTTTAGAATTTTTTTTTTTTTTTTTTAAAGTATGGACGCCCATCCAAACATAAAGGACGGGCGTCCATTAGGAATGGACGCCTGTCCAAACGTAAGGGATGGCCATCCAAAATTTATGGACGGCCGTCCCTAAAGTTTTTTTTTTTTTTTTATTTTCATATTTTGGTTAAGGACGGGCGTCCCTTATTTGCGGACGCCCGTCCAAAATAAAGGGACAGCCGTCCATAACGGATGAACGGTCGTCCCTAATGTTTATAAAAAAATTTTTATTGTATTTTATTCAGGGACGGACGTCCTTTAAATGGGGACGCTGTCCCTAGTATATGAACCCCCGTCCATATAATATGGACAGGGGTCCATGTGAGTGAACGACCGTCCAAATTTTTTGGATGGCCGTTCACTAGAAAAAAATTGAAGAAAAATTCACGCGACTGATACACATAGGCCGATACACAATTTCGGTATAATTTTTTCGGTGTCCGTAGTGTTATTGTTTAACTTAAGACGAGTACTTATAAATTAAATGCATAGAAACAAAAATCAATTTTTTTAATTAATGATATTATAACATTACAACAACATTATTTATATAATGAGTAAAAGGTAGAGTGCAAGTCTTGGTTATTATACCATTCATACTTGTAAAAGATTTATATTATTAGTATTATGAATGTGGAACATTGTAGTTTCAATTCACATCCAAGTGGGCTAGTAGCATTTATGTAATTTTTATATGAGTTGATAATATAAGATTCAGAAAGTTGCTTTCTTGTACTTCTTTAACCTTCATCTTCCAAGAAAGATCATTAATGGAAAACTTGCACGCATCTATGAAGACCAATTTTGAACAAACATGAAAGCTCTGTCTTTTCATCTAAAATCCTGACATTCGTGATTCATTTGACCACCTTGTCAGTTTGCTATAGTAATTTTTTTTTTTTTCCAAGCCAGCTTACACGCACCTCAACTAATCTTTTGAAACTACCAACCGGGTATGAGCTCTAATGGTTACCCTATGGCAACCGTGAAAACTCGTATTCGAAAAATCATGTTAGATCCTCATCTTGCTCTTTTATCCTCAAAGAGACTTCAACTTAGGAGATTATGTCAGATCCTCTTTTGCTCTTCTACCATCAAACCACCCCGCAGTGGATTAGTAAAATTTATTTATTCATTATATCTTTGCAACTTGTAGTAGGAAAGTGGAACTAAATTAGCCCTAACTTCAATTTAGAAATCTAAGGCTTCGTTTGTTTTGCTTTTGAGAATACTATTATTAGTATGCCCAAAAAAGTTAAACAGTAAAATGTTATTATTTTCAAAATATTATTTTATATTTTTTAATTTTTTTTAAACCTCTTAAATTTGTTAATTTAACTAAATACCCCTAAATATTTTTTTTAGAAATTGCAAAAACACTCCAACCACACTTCAACAATGGTGGCCGACTGTCCGTATTTAATAGGTGGATTGGGGGTGTTTTTATTAACTTTTAATATTTTATTATAAGGGTGTTTAGTAAATAAACAAACATAAGAGATATTTTTGTTAATTTTCGAGTCCTACATCGTAATACCCATCCAATTTAACTTTTTTTTAAAATATTATTCTAAGAACTATCAAAATAATGAATCAAACGGACCTAAATATCTAACTAGACAACATGTTTCAAAGAATCAAGGGCGGCTTACACATTTGAACAAGCAACCTTTGGTTTCCTGTCTTATGAATATGATCAAATTATGATTGGCGATTCTCCTATTCTTGCATAAATACACGTTATGTTTCATTATTGTTTACGTTAGTATTAAAGGATGCATATTAAAATCTAGAATATTGTCTTACATCTGAGGACCTATTTAACAAATGGTCATACGGTTTC